GTATTCTTTCTGGGAATGATAGAACAAATCAAATAATAACTTTATATTTTCTGAGTTTCCAGAAGGGAAAGTAATCTCTACCTAATATGAATGTTCTTACATGCTTACCTAAATTTGCCTGGGGCTACCAACAGCCTTTAGTTAGCTATTATCTTGGTTTGCTTTCCTCCAGAAGCCAACAGTGATGCAAAGATGTGTGCTCAAGTCATTTTAATTGAAAATGATCCCAAGATGAGTGGAAGGAGTGGGGAAGTGAGAGGGATAGGAAGACAGCCCATAAAGGAGGGCATGTTGATGGGTAGGTAGTCTGTGTGGGAAACTGAGGCTCAATCCCTCTGGGAAACACTGGGTGACAGTATTAGAAAACGTTTCAGCTAACCTTAAAGGAGGGCATGTTGATGGGTAGGTAGTCTGTGTGGGAAACTGAGGCTCAATCCCTCTGGGGAACACTGGGTGACAGTATTAGAAAACGTTTCAGCTAACCTTATCAAAGAGAGCTGGGGTATTTATCTACCAACTGCTGTATATCATTGACTAAGGAACCCCCTCCCACTCACCCACTCCCAACCCACCCATCCATGGGCTCCTGTTGTCAGAGAAAACATCATGCAGATAGTTGCATGTTCTAACAGAAATGGCAAGTAACAAGGGAATTTATCCAGGGCACCCACAGCACCTGCTCCAAGCACTTATTCTTTCTATCTAGTCCCCCACAACCAAAACATACCAACCAAGGAATATTCTTTCTTATAAGCTGATGACCATAAGCTTTCAGAATAAAGCTTAATATAAATAAACCAGCAACCCACAGATGGTCATTGGAACATAGATGAAAATCTTAAGAATGCTGAAATCCTTGAGGGAGTTTCCTAGCACAAATCTGGAGTAAAAAACTGTGATGTCACTGCCCTGGCAGGAACCTGACTGAGAATCTTAGATTCCTGGGAGCAGCATGTGTGACTTTCATTGCCATCTCCAATTCCTCTCTGACCTTAGCATCACTACACCTTCTTTTTTCTGCCAGATCCACCTTACCCAAAGGTCTATTATATACGAGGGTACTTCAAAAAGTCTGTGGCAAGATTCGTATTCTTTTAATTCTAATTTTGCACGAACTTTTTGAAGCACCCTGGTACTTCACTCTCCTGGGGGCCTGCTTTGCATGCATCTAACAGTACAAGTTAACTACATCTCCTCATGATACTTCATAGGATATTCTGGAAATGGAGGCACTACAAGGTGGTTAGGAACATGGGTTCTAGTGACAGACTGGCTGTATCTAAATTACCATCTCTGTCATTTATGATTTGTGCAACCTGTGGCAAGTTACTCATCTGGTAGTTGCCTTAGTTTCTCATATGTAAAATGGGCTTAATAATATTACCTACTTCTCTGGGCTGCTCTCAGGATTCGATATACTTAGAATAGTGCCTGGAACATGGTAATTGCTTCCTAAGTGTTTGTTGGATAAATCTAAAGGGATAAGACTCTAATATCTCCTCATGGTTAGGGTTGGGGGAAATAATATTGGATAAAATAGCCCAGCCTGGGCTATCACATTGTAATATGTTTCTAAGAAAGCTGTTTTCTCTTCTTTCTTCCAAGCCCATCCGCAGCCAAGAATTAGGAGCACTGGGCTTTGGAACCATCAAAAGAGTGTTGGAGTAAATCCCATCATTTACTGGCCATGAAAACCTGCTTTCTCTGCAACTCTCGCTATTTGTCCACAAAATGGGGATAGTGATACCTGTCCAATATCAAACAAAGTAATATATGTAAGAAATAATTTGCTAGCTTCAGGGAGTCTTTCCAGGTGAGCTTTGCTTACTGGCTTCTCTGCTTCCTTCCCTTCATGTACATTCTCTTCATGGTCCCATCTCCACCTTTTTCTCCTCTTTTAAATCTATTTTGTATTGTTTCCTTCTTACAAAATAACTCAGAGGATAGTTTATAAGTCTGGACCAAAAATCAGAAGAGTATAAAGTGAGGAGTAATCTCACCACTCATAAATACACATCTGTAAACTGTGGTCAACATCTTGGTCTTTAAAGCCAAGTCTGTTTTAGGAACTAACTATTGTTTGCAACTGCTTTTCAAAAACATTAAATTGCAACATATTTCTATGTGATTACACTGTTTCAATAATATTTTTTTATTTTTTTTTCTTATTTTGAGTGAACCATATTCTTTGCAACCTATCCCCTATTATGGACATTTGGGTGTTTTTTGTTTGTTTGTTTTTTCCGACTTTCTCCTATTAAAAATATCAAAGGATGAAAATTCTTGCAGAAATATCTTTCTTCAAAATCATAATTATTCCCTTGGAATTCCTAGAAGAGAATTTGCAGCATCAGGGGATTTTACATTTTTAGAGCTTTGATATACGATGCCAAATTATTTTCTAGAAAGATTGTTCCACTTTACACACTTCCCATCAGTGTTTGAAAGTGTACATTTTCTCCTAACCTCATTATACTGCATAATCTTAAAACAATAATTTGTTATCCTGAAAATGAAATATATGGTTATAATTTGCATTTATCTGATTATTAGTGAAATTGAATATTTTCATATGTTTATTGGCCATTTTTCTGTCTCCATTTGTGAATTTCTTATTTATAACTTTTGTTCACTTACATCCTTTTGTTCCTTTGGGGTAATTTGTAATTTTCTTATTCAAGAATAAGTGCTCTTTACATAGAAAGGGCATTAACCCTTTGCAGTCTCTT